ATCTGCAAATAGTGAAAGTTTGACTTATTCTTTACCAATTTGGATGCCTTTTATTTCTTTTGTTGTCTGATTGCTGACACTATGACCTCCAGTACTGTGTTGAATAGTAATGATGAGAATGGACATCCTTGACTTGTTTATGACTGTTGGGGAAATGCTCCCAGTTTTTCCCCACTAAGGATGATATTTGCTGTCAGTCTTTAGTATATGGCCTTTATGATGTTGAGATATGTTCCCTCTATCCCTACTTTGTTGAGAGTTTTTATTAAGAAAGGATGCTGTATTCTGTTGAATGCTTTTTTGCATCTACTGAATCATATGCTTCTTATCCTTTCTTTTATTAACGTGGTGTATCACATTGATTGGTGAATGTTGAACCACCCTGGCATCCCAGAAATAAATCTCAATCATAGTGAATAATTCTTTTAATGTACTGTTGAATTCTGTTTGGTAATATTTTGTTGAGAATTTTTGCATCCATGTTCATCAGGGATATTAGCCTGTAATTCTCCTTTTTAGTGAGGTCTTTGTCTAGGTGTGGAATCAAGTTAATGCTGGCTTTGTAGAATGAGTTTGGAAGTTTTCCCTCTGTTTTTATTTTTTGGAATTTTTTCAGAAGACTAGGTTTTAATTCTTCTTTAAATGTTTGGTAAAATTCTCCTAGAAAGCCATCTAGCCCTGGACTCTTGTTTGTTGGGAGATTTTTGATTACTGATTCAATTTCTTTGCTGGTTATAGGTCTGTTCAAATTTTCTATTTCTTCCTCTTTCAGTTTTGATAGTTTGTATGTTTCTAGCAATTTGTCCATTTTTTCCAGAGTACCCAGTTTGTTGGCATATAATTTTTCTTTTTTTGGCATATAATTTTTCATGGTATTCTCTTATAATTGTATTTCTGTGGTGTTGGTTGTGATCTCTCCTTTTTCATTCATGATTTTGTATATTTGGGTCCTTTCTCTTTTCTTTTTCATAAGTGGCTAGAGGTTTGTCAAATTTATTAATTCTTTCAAAGAACCAGCTCCTGTTGATCTGTTCTACTGTTTTTAAAATTTCTGTATCATTGTTTTATGCTCTACTTTTTATTATTTCCCTTCTTCTGCTGGCTTTATACTTTTTTTTTTTTTTTGCTTTCCTTTTCTAGCTCCTTCAGGTATAAGGGTAGGTTGTGCGTTTGAGACTTTTCTTGCTTCTTGAGGTAGGCCTGTATTGCTGTATACTTCCTTTTTATGACTGTCTTTGCTGCATCTGAAAGGTTTTGAACTGTTGTGTTTTCATTTTCATTTTTCTTCTGTGTATTTTTTCATTTCTTCTTTAATTTCCTGGTTAACCCATTCATTCTTAGTAGGGTGTTCTTTAACTTCCATGTATTTGTAGTCTTTCCAATTTTTTTGGTGGTTGACTTCAAGTTTTATAGTGCTATGATCTGAAAATATGCATGGCATGATCTCTTTTTGTACTTGTTGGAAGTAGATTTGTGACCCAGTATGTGACCTAATCTGGAGAATGTTCCATGTGCACTAGAAAAGAATATGTAGGGGCACCTGGGTGGCTCAGTCAGTTAGGCCTCTGACTCTTGATTTTGGCTTGGATCATGATCTGAGAGTCATGGGATAAAGCCCTACTTTGGGCTCTGTGCTCAATGAAGAGTCTGCTTGAGATCACCTCTCTTTCCTTCTCCTGCCCTTCCCCGCTGCACACAACACTGTCTCTGTCTAAAACGAATAAATCTTTTTTAAAAAAGGAAAAGAATCTGTATTCTGCTGCTTTGGGATGAAATGTTGTGAATATATTTGTTAAGTTCATGTGACTCAGTGTGTCATTCAAAACCATTGTTTTCTTGTTAATTTTCTGCTTAAATTATCTGTCCATTGCTGTAAGTGGGGTGTTAAAGTTCCCTACTATAATTGTATTATTATCAGTGAGTTTCTTTATGTTTCTTATTCATTGATTTCATTCATTTCAGTTCACCCATGTTAGGGGCATAAGTATTTACAATTGTTAGATTTTTTTGATGGATAGACCCCTTAATTATGATATAATGTCCTTCTTCATCTCTTGTTACAGCCTTTGGTTTAAAATCTTGTTTGATATAAGTATGGCTACCCTGGCTTTCTTTGGTATCCATTTATATGACTATTATTTCTCCACCTCCTCATTTGAATCTGCAGGTGACTTTAAGTCTACAATTAGTCTCTTGTAGGCATCATATAAATGGGTATTGTTTTTAAATTCATTCTGATACCCTGTGTTTTTGTTGGAGCATTTAGCCCATTTACTTTCAGAGTGATTGTTGAAAGATATGAATTTAGTACCATTGTGTAACCTGTAGAGTTGTGTTTCTGGTGATGTTCTCTGGTCCTTTCTAGTCTTTGTTGCTTTTGGTCACTTTTTTCTCTCTGCTCAAATCATCTCTCTTAAAATTGTTGCAGGGTTGGTTTAGTGGTTGCAAATCAGTTTTTGTTTGGGAAACTCTTTCCTTCTATTCTGAATGACAACCTTGCTGGATGAAGAATTCTTGGCTACATATTTTTCCCATTCAGCACATTGAATATTTCCTTCCACTCCTTTCTGGCCTGCCCAGCTTTGGTGGACAGATCTGCTGTGAACCTGATCTATCTTCCTTGTAGGTTAAGGACTTTGTCCCATTGCTGCTTTCAGGATTCTTTCCTTATCTGTGTATTTTATGAATTTGACTATTATATGCCTTACAATGGTTGACTTTTGTTGAATTTGATGGGACTTCCTTGTACTTCTTGGATTTTCATGTCTGTGTCCTTCTCCAGATTAGGTAAGTTTCCAGCTATCATTTGTTCAAATAAACCTTCTGTCCCTATATCTCTCTCTTAATTTTTTGGGACTCCTATGATACAAACATTATTATGGTTTTTTTGTATATTTTTTATCGGAGTTTGATTTGCCAACACATAGTATAACACTTTGTGCTCATCCCATCAGATGCCCTCGGTGCCCGTCACTCCCCTTTTCTACCCCTCGTTCATTTCCCAGAGTTAGGAGTCTCATGTTTTGTCACCCTTTCTGATTTTTCCCACTCATTTTCTCTCCTTTCCCCTATAATCTTTTTCACTATTTTTTATATTCTCTGTATGAGTGAAACCATATAATGATTGTCCTTCTCCGATTGACTTACTTCACTCCGCATAATACCTTCCAGTTCCATCCATGTCAAAGCAAATGGTGGATATTTGTTCTTTCTAGTAGCTGAGTAGTATTCCATTGTATATATAGACCACATCTTCTTTATCCATTCATCTTTTGAAGGACATAGAGTCTCCTTCCACAGTTTGGCTATTGTGGACATTGCTGCTAGAAACATTGGGGTTCAGGTATGTCAGCTTTTCACTGCATCTGTATCTTTGGGGTAAATCCCCAGTAGTGTAATTGCTGGGTCATAGGGTAGCTCTATTTTTAACTCTTTGAGGAACCTCCATACAGTTTTCCAGGGTGACTGTACCAGTTAACATTCCTACCAACAGTGCAAGAGGGTTTAATAAGTCACTAATTTCCCTAAGTTTAGCTTCATGGTCCATTACCTTACTTTACCTCCTCTTTTCAGCTTCATCATTTTCCATAAATTAATCTTCTATGTAACTTATTTGGTTCTCTGCTTTGTCCTTCCTCATTTTCATGGCCTCCACTTAGGATTACATTTTAGTTATGCCTTTTGTAATTTCAGTTTGACTGGATTTTAGTTCTTTTATCTCCGTAGTAAGGAATTCTTTTGTGTCTTCTATGCATTTTTTCAAGCTTGGCTAGTATCCACATAATCGTTTTAAATTCTAGTTTTGACATTTTACTTATGTCTATATTGATTAAATCCCTGCGTGTGAGCACTATCTCCCATTCTTTCTTTTTGGGTGAATTTCTCCATCTTGTCATTTTGTCCAGGAAAGAAAAGAAGAAAGGAAAAGAAAAAATAACAACAAAACCACCACCACCACCCCCCGCCAAACCCCACAAAAAAACAAATCCTAGATCCTGGGTGTGTTTTGGTCTGCTTTTTAAAAGAATCTAGATCCCAAAATACAAAGGAAAAATAAAATAAAATAAAATAAGAAACAAAAATATATAAAACTTAAAATAATTAATAAAAAAACTGAAAAAATAAGAAAACAAATGAAAAAATTATCATAAAAAATAAAGAATAAGAGCACAAATTAATATGGTGGCACTCCACTCTCTAGCCCTGGAGCTGAAAATTCACACCCCCTACTCTTCAGTGAGCCATCACAGAAAGAGCAGTCAATCAGTCTTATCTCTCCAATTTCATTAGAACTTTGTGTTCATCCTGCCTGTGTCTGAGCTTTTTTATTTCAGATGTGTGACTGAGTTTCAAAACTACAAATTTTAGGGAGTTTCAAGAAATGGGCCTGCACTGTTCCTCCTAGGGAGGATCTCCCCATGGTTCTGCCATTTCTGGGCTTGTGCCAGGAAATTGGTTGCATGAACACACGGTGGTTCAGTTTATGGCAATATAGAGCAGAAAGCTGGTACCTAGACTCACTGTTCTCAGCCATCTTACATGGTCCTATGCCTGGGAACAGTGCAGCCCTAGGCACTACCCATTCTTCTTGTGACCCCGGGGAACCTCAGACCATGATGTCACACCTGGGATTCTATCCTGCTTTACCCCCTGAGCACCTTTAAGCCAGTCTGACTCCCACTGTAACAGACTTCTAAAGTTCTGATTTTTCACTCTGCTCTTGGATGTTCAGAATGATTAGATAACTATCTTGCTGTATTTGAGGGACAAGACAAGGTTAGGTCCCTTTAATTTTCCACCATCTTAACTCCTCCTAGAGATGTATCTTTTTAGTGTTTGCAGGTATCACTTTATGTTTCTATGGTGGCCCGAAGGATTCAGGAGAGAATTGCAACAACAGAGTCTGAATGGATGAGAGTGACTGGGCTCCAGTGTACCCAGTAGGGTTGCAGGCAGGTGTGTACTTGAGAGGCTGGACATTTTATTCTCATTCCTTTTAGTTTTTTCAGTGTGTCCTGGGACTTTTGGTCTTGGAGACATTCATCACCCTCATTTGACTCGGCTGTGAATCTCAGTTTCTGGCTCCTGCTTGGGCCCCCAGGTCAGTATTTTCCTGCTGAGTTTGGCCAATGGGAAGCTCTGCTGGGAGGTTGAGGGAGGTAAAGGAGGGGGAAGCTAGTTAGTACTTCTCCCCATTCCACCATGCTTTGGGGGCATCTTTTCTGGGGCTTCAGATTCTTCCAGAAAGGCTCAGTGTAGTTTCTGCACTCCCCTTCTCCCTCTGCTCCTCAACTATGGTGGGGTGGAAATTTTCCTGCTACTGGTAATCTTCTGGTTCATATCTTACCATGTTCATCTTCTGTGTAACCAGTGTCTATGATTATGTATTCTGGGAAGCTTCTCTTTCCTTCTTGGGCCCTGCCTGATTCAGTTAGTGAAGGAAGGAAAAGGAAAAGGCAAAAGCTGAGATTGAAAAGGAGGGAGGACATATGGGTGTGTAAGGAGGGAGGTAGAGGAGAACAAGAGTGAAAATTGCCTTGGGAGATATGTTAAAATCACTGGGAAGTTCTAGGACCCAGTGGGAACACTGCATATGGAGGTCACATGAGACTGTTAGAACCACAGAGGGTTCTCTATGGTTATAGTTAGCTGCTTGGATGGTGCCATAGGGCAGGAAAGCCGGTGTTTTGAGTTTTGCCATGGGTGGCAGACAGACCCCAGGTAGCCCCCATGATGCGCATTGCCTGGTGGTCGTACCTTTGTGAGATCCCCTCCCCTGACCTGTGACTGGCTTCTAACCAAAGAGGATGGATGGGATGTCACTCCTATGGTTGTGTTGCATTATGTAAAAATTTGCCTTGCTAGTTGACTTACTTTGGAGACTCTCATTGTTGTGATGAAGTGAACAGACATGTTTGGGGAGTCCACATGGCACAGAACTGCAGGAAGCCAGTTGAAAGTGAGGGTGGCTTCTGAGAGCTCAGTGTGGTCTCTAGCCAACAGCTAGTAAGAAGCAGGGCCCTCAGTCCTATAGCATCAGGAATTGAATTCTGCCAACACTGAGTCATCTTGGAAGCATATTTTTTCCCCTGGTTGAGCCTCTAGATGAGAACACAGCCTGATGACACCTTGAGATCCTGAGCAAATGATCCAGCTAAACCTGACCCAACCCTGGACCCACAGAAACTCTGAAATTATAAACATGTTATTTTAAGCGACCATATTTGTAGTAATTTGTTACGCAGCGATAGGAAACTCACATATCAGGTGAACTTGACAGAATGAGTTGGGGCAAATAAGAGAAGAGTATTTGCTGGACTGTGGAATCTCAGCTGGGCAGGGTGTGGGGATAAGGGAGGTTTGGTTGAAGTGGAAGCAGACAAGCTCCCTGCCAGTGAAGTGATCACATAACTGAGAGCCCAGGGGGTTGGAAGTATCATCTCTGTAGATGTTGAAACCAAAATATTACAGGAGTTATAGAGAGCTTTGGGTTATAGAGATAAGAGAGAGTGAGACCATAAGCTAGGACTCAGATTTTTAAAGAATGAAGAGATATGACTAGGAAGATAGACAGTTGTATTAAGAGGTTGGCATGTTGTATGAAGCAGCTGGAGTAGTTTAGGGAGGGGAGAAGATGGCAGTGGGGAATCAGGAGAATACCTTTCCAAACTCTCAGCAGAACTAATTACATAATTTGTGGAACCCTGTGAAAAATGAAAATGTGAGGCTCCTTGTTCAAAAAGCAGGAAAAAATGTTAATACTACTAAAACATAAAGCTTTTTCCTTTCTTTCATTATCTTTCCTGAATTGTCACCATATTTTAAAAATTGCTACTTAATGTCATTATTCTAAGTAAGGAAAAATTACAAATCTAAATTATTAGCATGAATGTCATCATTCATCTTTATTGTGAAGCATCATTTTAAGTGCAGATATGAGAGCATTTAACTTGTAGGTGAAATCAGGAAAGTTGTACAATTTGTATTTTGCAGTTCTTACATGCATGTGGACAATGGAAACATTGCATGAAACTAACTTAAATGTGTTTACTGTACTTTTTGATACAGGCACATTCTACCAACACTCTTCTTCTTACTGATGAGTGAGTCACAAAGAGTGGTGGACCCATTCCACCTATAGTTATGTACATTGCTTTACAATGTTGCAAATCCTGCTCAACCAAAGCTCACAATAAGTGTTGGCTTCTTAGCAACTCTTGATATCAAACCATGCTGCTGCAAATCAAAGGTCATTGCTGGGGTCATGGGATGCTGGCAAATGTAAAAGATTTAAATGGTAATGGTTAAAAATATAATCCAAATAGTAGAACCTCATAACCTTTCATTTTTACTTTGAATTAGTTGAATTACTTTTGATGAGTAATTGTTTTCATTTTTATAATAGGTATTATTTTCCCATTACAAAAGTATTGATTTGCTGGATGCGAAAACCATAAAACCATAGCATAGAAGCAAAGGAGAAAGCTCCCATTACCCAGAGGTAGTCCTGTATTGGAGGCAGGGTCTTTTTGGTCTTCTGTTATATGCATATGCTATATATATATATTTATTTCAAGAAAAATAGCTTATCAGTTTTTTCTGTATCCTTAATATTTCCCACTATCAATCAGTATCCCTTTAGAACATTTTTAGTTGCATAGTATTACATACTATGCACATATTACAACTTGCTTTACTAATGTTCTCTTGTTGAATACTTAGGTCATGGCTAGTGTGAAATATGCTACAATGTTCATCCTTGGAAAGAGTGTACACTGTTTCCCTGTGCTATTAGAATGCTGAAGCACTGGAAGGGCCTCATTATAACAGGCCAAAAAACAACAAGGGTAGAAAGAGACTGAATGGATTCCGTATGGATTCCCCAAGGCGCAAACAATATTCCCAGTTTGTTTTCATCAACAGTGCTTTCTTTCTGGCTGACTTCCTAAGAAGAGTGACAACGGAACATGCATCTAGAGAACAAAGGTCGGCTGACCTCTGGTGTGCTGGAGATGGAGCTACATCAGACATCTGCTCCCATGTGTGCTGGTTTAGGAAGATCAGAGCCAGCAGAATCAGCCACCAGCAAATGTGGGCTCCAGCCGAGAGTGAACAGGGCAGAGCCGTCAACCTCCTACCCCAGCAGGGCAGCTGGGCAGAGCCGCTGGGCTTCTGTGGACCGGGACTTTAATTCATTCCTCACAGAGCAGAGGTGAGTTTCTGAGATTTTTTTTTAAAGATTTTATTTATTCATGAGAGACAGAGAGACAGAGAGAGAGAGAGAGAGAGAGAGGCAGAGACATAGGCAGAGAGAGAAGCAGGCTCCATGCAGGGAGCCTGATGTGGGACTTGATCCTGGGACTCCAGGATCACACCCTGGGCTGAAGGCAGACACTCAACAGCTGAGCCACCCAGGCATCCCAGTTTCTGATAGTTTTATCCTGTAAATGTGGAATTCACAAATATGGGATATTCCCATGAACATAGTACCCCTATGTTTTGTGGGAAAATTTTCAGATATTATGGAAGAAATACAAGACTTTTTCTAGTAATTTCTTGACCTATTTTGAGTGAATGCTCTTTCTAAAATAGGGCTAAGAGAACTCCAAAAGATAATAAAAATAGAGTTTTTAGCATGAATTGGCATTTACTATATTATTTAAGGCACTAAAAATATTATGACTTAAAAAGCATATATATTTATATCTTAGCATGTGCTTTATTCCTACAAATATGTTAAATGAAGCAGTTGAATATTGTTTTTCATGTTAGAAAAATCTAGATTTAGATAAAAAGTACTTTTTGATAAACTTAAATATTTACCAAAATACAACTAATAAATAGATATAAAAGCATCCTGTTTAAGTGTCTGTTCATACCCATGTAGGGGACATATTGGTTACCCTGCAGATGTGGGTATCCTTGTCCCCACAGGCAGTAAGTCCTGCTCTGGGCAGTTGCTCAGCCAGAACCTGACCCAAACAGTGCCAGTGTCGAATGTTTAAAAAGGCAAAGCATCACAAAAATGCATACAAGTGTAGATCCCCACCACCTGCCATGATCCTCTCCCCTCCTCTTCTCTAGGGTGGGACCTCTCCCAATTTACGGTGGTCTCACCAGTGTTCAGGTTCATACTTCCGTTTGTTTATGTATCATTAAATAGTTTCTGCTCTTGTTTTGCAAATGGTTAAACATTGCTTTGCTTTTTTTGTCCATCTTTTTGAGATTTGTCAGTCTGGATGCCTGTAGTTCTTGTTAATTCATTTGGACTGCTCACATAAAATGTCAGTATATGAATGTACAACAGTTTACATATCTTCTCCTATAACTAGCTATTCGGTGTCTCCCACACTCCTTAGGTTTTTGCTATTAAAAACTGCCTACAACACATTTTCTCCATAGGTTTTCTAGGGTGTAAGTTGGGGGATTCTCTAGAGTATCTCTCTTCTTGAGAACAAATGTTGGTTCCTAAAATGTACGCACCTTTGGATTTACTAGATGGTACCAGATTAATAATTGTATAAATTTACTCTCCCACATTCCCAGCATTTGGTGCTGGCGGACTTTAACATGAGAAGATGTGTTACATGTGATATACTGTGTCATGGTTTGCAAGGAAATTTGCATTTCCTTGTCTAGAAAAGCAGACCTTTTTCTTACATGTTTATTAGACAGTTGGGTTTGTTTCTCATAATGTGCCACCTCATACATTTTGGTCAACTTTCTAATGAGTTATTTATATTTTTCTGTGTTTCGGTTTTTTAAAATAAAATTCTTATATTAACTCTCTTTGGTCCTGTGTTGCAGTGTCTTCTTCAAGCCAGATGATCATCTTTTCTCTTTATTTATGATTTTTAAAAAAGATTTGTTTATTTATTTTAGAGAGAGAAAGAGAGAGAGAGAGAGAGCATGGGTGGAAGGGGTAGAGGGAGGAGGAAAGAGAATTTGAAGCAGATTCCACATTGTGCATGGAGCCCAGTGCAGGGCTCAATCTCATGACTCTGAGATCATGACCTGAGTTGAAACCAAGAGTCAGATGCTCAACCAACTTTGTTTCCAGGTGCTCCTATTTATGTGTCTATGTTTTTTTAAGTAAAGTATTTAATATGATTATATTTGTTAAGTTTTTCATGGTTTTATGCTCTTTTTGGGGGTTAATATTTTTAAGTTCATATATTTTTAAGAACTCTCCTATCTGATTTAATAAATATTTTCTCCTGTTTTCTAAAAGTTGTAAACTTTTATAAGTCCTTTATACTTAGCTCCTTTACCTACTTGGAAGTCATTTTTAAGTTGCCCTTCCTTCCCCTCTCTCCCTTCCTCTTTCCTTCTTTACTGCTTAAAAAAAATACATACCAAAAAAAACGCCCAGTAAATTTTTAATAAAAATTTTGGGTCTGAAGTGCATGAATAATTAAGAGAGGGCACCCTTGGAAGGTGAAGGAGTACCTCCAGAATTTACATGTGGAATTGGCTTAAGGCAGACTCTGTGGGGAAACTGGGACTGGAGACATTCTCTGGAAGCTGTGTTGACCTGTTACATCAGCTGTCTCTTGCCACAATAACGGTGCAGACCCGAAACATAAACTTCATGTGGGTGGTAGGGTGGTGGTTTAACCCCCTTCTGCCAGTGTAGGTGTGACTGCCAGCTGAATTAGGGGTCCCGTGGGTCCCTGCCTCTCATTCTTCCAAAGGAATCATCATTCAGGAGTGGAAGCTGGTCATAAGCCTCTGCCACCTCACGTGGGCTAACATCTCATCAGCAGACTGAAGGTCAGAGATACATCTTGTGCTCTGAGGGTCACCAGATAGAATGCAGGTTGCAAATGTGAGTTTCAGATAAAAATGAACATTTTGGGGGAAGTTCTTTTTTTAATTTAATTTAAATTATTTGCCAACATATAGTATAACACCCAGTGCTCATCCCGTCAAGAGCCCTCCTCAATGCCCATCACCCAGTCACCCCATCCCCCTGCCCGCCCACCTCCCCTTCCACAACCCTTTGTTTATTTTCCAGAGTTAGGAGTCTCTCATAGTTTGTCTCTAATTTTTCCCACTCAGTTCCTCTCCTTTCCCTTATAATCCCTCTCCCTATTTTTTATATTCCCCGAATGAATGAAACCATATAATGTTTGTCCTTCTCCGATGACTGACTTCACTCACCATAATACCCTCCAGTTTCATCCAGGTTGAAGCAAATGGTGGGTACTTGACGTTTCTAATGGCTGAGTAATATCCCATTTTATATATAGACCACATCTTCTTTATCCATTTATCTTTCGATGGACACCGAGGCTCCTTTCACAGTTTGGCTATTGTGGACATTCCCGCTATAAACATTGGGGGGCAGGTGTCTCGGGGTTTCACTGCATCTGTATGTTTGGGGTAAATCCCCAGCAGTGCAATTGCTGGGTCGTAGGGCAGGTCTCTTTTTAACTCTCTGAGGAACCTCCACACAGTTTTCCAGAGTGGCTGCACCAGTTACGTTCCCACCAACAGTGTAAGAGGTTCCCCTTTCTCCACATCCTCTCCAACATTTGTTGTTTCCAGTCTTGTTCATTTTCCCATTCTTACTGGTGTGAGGTGGTATCTCAATGTGGTTTTGATTTGTATTTCCCTGATGGCAAGTGATGCGGAGCATTTTCTCATGTGCTTGTTGGCCATGTGTATTCCTTCTTTGGTGAAATTTCTGTTCATGTCTTTTGCCCATTTCATGATTGGATTGTTTGTTTCTTTGCTATGGAGTTTAATAAGTTCTTTATAGATCTTGGATACTAGTCCTTTATCTGATACGTCATTTGCAAATACCCTCTCCCATTCTGTAGGTTGTCTTTTAGTTTTGTTGACTGTTTCTTTTGCTGTGCAGAAGCTTCTTATCTTGATGAAGTCCCAATAGTTCGTTTTTGCTTTTGTTTCCCTTGCCTTCATAGATGTAGTTTGCAAGAAGTTGCTGTCCCCACATTCAAAAAGGCTGTTGCCTGTGTTCCCCTCTAGGATTTTGATGGATTCTTAACTCACATTTAGATCTTTCATCCATTTTGAGTTTATCTTTGTGTCTGGTGTAAGAGAGTGGTCCAGTTTCATTCTTCTGCAAATGCCTCTCCAATTCTACCAGCACCATTTATGAAGAGACTGTCATTTTTCCAGTGGCTAGTCTTTCCTCCTTTCGAATATTAGTTGACCATAGAGTTGAGGGGCCATTTCTGGGTTCTCTATTCTGTTCCATTGATCTATGTGTCTGTTTTTGTGCCAGTACCACACTGTCTTGATGACCACAGCTTTGTAGTACAACCTGAAATCTGGCATTGGATGCCCCCAGATATGGTTTTCTTTTTTAAAATTCCCCTGGCTATTCGGGGTCTTTTCTGATTCCACACAAATCTTAAAATAATTTGTTCTAACTCTCTGAAGAAAGTCCATGGTATTTTGATAGGGATTGTATTAAATGTGTAAATTGCCCTGGGTAACATTGACATTTTCACAATATTAATTCTTCCAATCCATGAGCATGGAATATTTTTCCATCTCTTTGTGTCTTCCTCAGTGTCTTTCAGAAGTGTTCTGTAGTCTTTAGGGTATAGATCCTTTATGTCTTTGGTTAGGTTTCTTCCTAGGTATCTTATGCTTTTGAGTGCAATTGTAAATGGGATTTACTCCTTAATTTCTTTCTTCAGTCTCATTGTTAGTGTATAGAAATGCCACTGAGTCCTGGGCATTGATTTTATATCCTGCCACACTGCTGAATTGCAGTATGAGTTCTAGCAATCTTGGGGTGGAGTCTTTGAGTTTTCTATGTACAGTATCATGTCATCTGCAAAGAGGGAGAGTTTGACTTCTTCTTTGCCAATTTGAATGCCTTTTATTTCTTTTTTTCTAAGTCTAGGACTTCTAGTACTATTTTGAATAGCAGTGGTGAGAGTGGACATCCCTGTCTTGTTTCTGATCTTAGGGGAAAGGCTCCCAGTTCTTCCCCATTGAGAATGATATTTTCTGTGGGCTTTTCATAAATGACTTTTAAGATACTGAGGCATGTTCCCTGTACCCCTACACTTGAAGAGTTTTAATCATGAATGGATGTTGTAATTTGTAAAATACTTTCTCTGCATCTGTTGAGAGGATCACATGGTTCTTGTTTTTTCTCTTATTGATGTGATTTATCACATTGATTGTTTTATGAGTGTTGAACCAGCCCTGCATCCCGGGGATTAATCC